GCTGCTTTCAGTATTCTCTCTTTGTTCTGTACATTTAATGTTTTTACTATGGTATGTCATGGGGAATTTCTTTTCTGATCCTGTCTATTTGGTGTCTATTTGTATGGGGATGTTGTCCTTAACTTCAGGAAATTCTCTTCTACAATCCTGTTTAAGATCTGGTCAACACCGTTAACCTGAAATTCTTCTCCTTCCTCTATGCCTATGATACATAGATTTGATCTTTCCATGATGTCCCACATCTCTTGCATATTCCATTCCTGTTTGTTTTTTTTTAATTTTTCATAATCTTTGCTTGAGTGGTCCAATTCTTCAACTTTATCCTCACAGTGTTGATATTCTGTTTTCCATTTCATTCATTCTAGAAGTGAGGTTTTTCCCTGTTGTTTCAAGTTGGCTTATTGAGTTTTTCACTTCCTTCTTCATTTCTGTCCGAGTTTTCTTCAATGTTTCTATCTCTTTTGTGAATTAATTTAGAAGTTTATTCCTATCTTCTTTTAGTTCTTTGATTTGTTTGTGTGTTCTTTAAATTCACTGAATTCCTTTTCTTGTAATTCCTTGGTTATGTTTATGACTGTTCTTTTAAATTCTGTGTCCTGGGTTATCTCTAGGGGGTTCTCCTTATAGAACTCTTCTACAGGACTAGTGGAGTTTGGTGGGGACATAGTGTTTTGGCTTTCCATTTTATTATTCTTTCGTTGTCATTTTGGCATGTGACTTTCTTTTGTTGTTTGTGGTTCTGATATGAGAATTAAGTTGACATAAGCTTCTGTTTGTATTATTGGTGTGCTTTGGTCCTTTTCTTATTGATTATATACAGCTGGTTGGTCCAGGTTTCAGGTTCTCTCAGGTTTTATTTTGGAGGGAATTGATGGCTTCAGATCAGTTACTCAGGAGCACCCACAGAAGCCCAAGCCAGGTTCCAGTCAGGTACACTCAGGCTTCCATCTAAGGTTGGGACCCCTACTAGTGGGAACTCAGAGCAAAATTTGGGAAGATCCCTAAGGGGGGGCTGATTTTGGGACACTCAGTAGGTCTGTGGAGTTCTCAGCCCCTGTGCCAGAGGGAGGCCGGAATAGGCACTCTCTGGAGGTCTGCTGAGATCCCAGCCGCTACACAGATGGAGGCTGGAACCCTCCAGCAGGCTGTCTGCTAAGATCTCAGCCTTATCCTACCAAAGCCAGGTCTGCCCAAGGGCCTTGGGACTGGCCTCATACAATCCCAGTCAGGGGGTTAGGTACAGTGTAATTGGGGTATGCTCACAACTAGGTGGAGGCAGGATCCAGGTGCTCTCAGGCAGTCCCCTGAGCTCTCAGCCCCTATGCCAAAGGGAGGCAGGAACAGGCACTCTCTGGTGGTCTGCTGAGATCCCAGCCACTACACAGATGGAGGTCAGAACCCATCCTCTCAGGCTGTCTGCTAAGACCTCAGCTTTATAGAGGGATGCATTTTGGAAGCTCTCATTAAGAAATTCCAATGAACTCTCATATGAACATTTGAAATTTGCCCTGTTCTGACTTTCTTCTAGCTCCCTGTCTAGAACTTGTAATGCTAATTACTCTTGCCTTTACTTCTCCTTCACATTTCCTATTCACCCGTCAAGGACTTTCTTTTCCCTCTACAGATAACAGTTATGCAATTTGGGAGTCTTTCAGATAGACCCACTGAAGAGGTACCTCAATTGCCTCACCCTGAGTCCCTATTCAGCATGGAAGAAACCAGAGTGGTCTGCGTCCCGATACCCTATCTGCAAGCTGGGCAACCTCTTCAGAGAATGGTGTGATAAGAATAGGAGGTAGGAACTGGCTACACGGTTGGTGTTAAAAGACCCCAAAGAAAAGTAGCCAGTTTCTTGGCTAAAAGTCAAAATGTGCTTGGGCTTCTTAGAAGCATACTCTGTTCTAAAGGCCAAAAATGTCAAAAGTATTTGGGAGCTCTTATCTAATCCTTGAAAGATTTTAGGGTTACCTCTTCAGAGGAGGGAATGTTAGGATAGCAAAAAGCTCCATTAAGAAAAAGAAAAAGGAAGAGTACATGAAGTTATCAGGAAAAAGTGATGGGGAATTATAGGAGGAGTTAGAGGAGAGGGAGTGGGCATGGATTTGATCAAAACACCTTATATACTTATATGCCTCTATGAAATTCTCAATAAATTATTTTTTTTTAAAAAAAGAGGCACATAAGTCTCTTTTTGGTCTTTTGACCAGGCTGGCCTTGAACTCACAGAGATCCGCCTGCCTCTACCTCCCAAGTGCTAGGACTACAGGCATGTGCCACATCGCCTGGCTTAATAAAATATTTTTAAAGTATATATTAAAAAAATAAAACTAAAAAGGAAAGAAAAAGGAGAAAAAGAAACCCCTGTATGCATATCTTCACATTGGTGTAGGGGTATGTGTGTGTGCATGTATGTGGAAGTCTATGGCAGGGTGTCTTATTCTCAGAGTCAGGGTCTCTGACTGGACCTTGAAGTCATCAATTTGGCTAGGCTGGCTGGCTGGCTGGTTAGAAAGTCCTAGGGATTCTCCTGTCCCTGCCTCCCCAGCACTGGGATCACAGGCACCCACTGCTGCATCCAACCTTTCATGTGCATTCTAGAGGATCAAAGTCAGGTCCTCTTTTGTGTGGCAAGCACTTTACCAACTGAACCATCTCATAAAAAATATTTCATGGGGCTGGAGAGATGGCTCAGTGGTTAAGAACACTGAATGATCTTGCAGAAGACCCGGGTTCAAATCCTAGCACCCACATGGCAGCTAACAACTGCCCGTAACTCCAGTTCCAGGGGAACTGATGGCCTCTTCTGTCCTCCATGAGCACTGCACGACACAGGTGCATGGGTGCACTTACCTACATGCAGGCAATACACTCATACACATAAAAAAAATAATAATAATAAATTTCACATCTCTTTTCAAATTAAATACATCAAGTACTCAAGCAGTCACACGTCATGATTAATTATATTTTTGACCACACACATAAAGACGGCATATAACTTCTGAAGTGTAAGGGTACCCTCAGCATCTGGAAGAGATTATGTCCATGCTTACCAATGTCGTTGATCACTGCTCTTATTTTGGAAACAAAGGGACCAACTTCGCTGGAATGCATTTTAGCTCTCTCCTTAAGGTCAGCACCTGTAAAATATTGTATTTACAAATGTAATCTTGTCATTAACATTTTAAAGCATATATATGTTCTAAGTAAATCTCAAATTCATATGGGGTCAACTGAACTGACAGGCTAAAGGCCGTGCACTACTTAAATTTCCTTCCCAGTGATCACCATGGAAAGAATGGAAAACTGTATTCATGCACCTTGGTATGTTTGCAGGTGCACTTCTCCAGCTTCCTGGTCTCAGGACCTTCAACTCAAAGGAAGAGACCATGCTTCCATCACACTGTAACTACAAAGAGTTCTTAGAGCTTATTAATTCACCAAAAATTTACAAACATGCTAATGTTGTCATGAATGACTACAAATTGCTGTTGGTACCCGCGTTCTTCCAAAGATGCTGGAGTTTTAATCCGCTACCGCTCTGGCCTCATCAATGCAAGAGCCAAGTCAGTAAAAATGGTAAAGTGCGCACTGGGGCTACAAAGCTACAGTACCTGTGAACCCCATCTGGGAAAACACTGGCTTGAGGCATTCGCCAAGTGACAATTTCACAATTATGCTTTATCACACAGCACTAACTTTAGAACAGACAAAAATATATTTAAGGAATTCCCTAAAGGTTCAATCACTCTGAGTTCAAGAGACACTATTTCAATAAAACCAAAGACCTGAGAAAAGATGTTGAAAAAAACAAACCAAGCCCGCAGGCCTGCAGGTCCTGCTCACCCTCTTCTACACTGAGGCTCACGACAATGCACAGCCTCCAGTACAGCTGGGCTCAGCACTCCAAATGCACACACATACCTTTCCAACACATACCACATGATCCACCAGTTCTTGGGGACATATGCCACAGAAAGAAATCTCAGAAAATACAGAAAATACTATGCAGTACAACATAAGAATAGGAAAAAAAAAAAAAAACTGGCAATAACCTAAATATTATCAACAGGAAAGTTGGTAAAACTAGGATATACTTATACAAAAGGTCTTAAAATGAAAGAATTATGAGTATAAATAAATACAATCTACTGCGAGAAAAATATAATTATAGAAAGATGCACAGCATGATAACCAGTTAAAATGGGAAAGTAAGTAAGTGGGGTTACATCTAACTAAAGTGCTGTGGGCACAAAAGAAGTCATTGGCTGAGGGAAGGGACAACCTGAAGATGGGAGAGCGCATGTGCCGGCTGCATCTGACCAAGGAGCACATCAAAGCACACGTGCCTCAGCCCAGTAGCAAGGAACAGAGTTGGGCAAAGATGGAAAGAGAAAGCTCCTTTTCTTTGCTTTCTTTGTGTGTGTGTGTGTGTGTGTGTGTGTGTATGTAGGCATGTACATGGCAGATAAGTGTGTACAGGTGTGTAGGGTACATGCACTGGTGTGAAGGCCAGAGGTCGACACTGGTTGTCTTCCTCCACTGCACTCCCACCTTATTTTTGGTGATAAGATCTCTCACTGAACCTGGAGATCACCAATTCGCTAGACTGGTTGGCCAGTGAGCTCCTGGGATCCTCCTGTCTCCCCAGTACTGGGATTACACATAAGCACTGCCATACTCAGCTTTTTACAAAGGTGCTAGGGAATCTGAACTTAAATTCTTATGCTTGCACAGCAAGCACTTTGCCAACCAAACCATCACGTCAGGCTACTGCTGTTGCTGTTGTTGTTGGAGCTTTCTTAAAGGACAACTTACAAGTGGTTAAAAAGTATGTGAAAACATTTTTTTCTTTTTTTTAATATTTTATTTTATGTGTATGAGTGTATTGCCTGCATGTATGTGAGTGCAACCATGTTGTACAATGCCGTGGAGGTCAGAAGAGGGCTTCGGATTCCCCAGGAACTCAAGTTAAGGATGGTTCATAGCTGCCATGTGGATGCTGGGAATCGAACCCAGATCCTCTGCAAGTGTAGTCAGTGCTCTTAACCGCTGAACCATCTCTCCAGCCCCGTGAAAATATTCTTAACATCACTAATCATCAGGGAAATACAAAGTAAAACTACAACCTATCATCTCACTACCAGGAAATATAAATGGGTGCCAGGTCTGTGATCCAGCATTGCAAAGGCGGAAGCAGGAGGATCAAGCATTCCAGGCCAGCCTGGGTAACATAGCAAGACCTGCTTCTAAACAAAAAAACAAACAAACAAACAAAAAACCACAAGGTTGTAGAGAAACTTGAACAGTACTAGTGGGAAAAGTAATTTAATACACTCATCATGGAAAATGTATGGGCGTGCCCTCAAAAAACTTAACAATGGAACCATCATATGATCAAGCAATCCCACTACTAGGCAAACAGCAGTTCCTCCTAATCCAGAGCTTTGCTTTTCACTGACACCCACAATCAACCTCAGTCTAAAAATACCAATCAAGAGTTGAGAAGGAAAAGGTCAGTAAAATGCTTGCAAAACAGTCAGGTGTAGTGGTTGAAAATAACTTGAGGTTGTTTTCTGGCATGCGCCCGTGGGTGCGGGTGCGGGTGCGTGCGCATACACACACACACACTCACACACACACACAGACACTCACACACACAAATATTAAATTTAATTTAATGCAAAAAGCAGCAAGCTTGGATGCATCTATTACAAGGGTTTTGTGGCACCATGGACGATGACCATGTAAGAAAAGAGAATTTAATCTCAATACAATATTGAAACAAAGACCAATTAATAACCCTATAGAAGTCTCTAAGTATTCTAGTGAAAAGTCACATATCTCTCAATTTAAAACAAAAGCCAGAAATGATGATTAAGGTCAGCAGGAAGGGAATGCTGAATGTCAGGACAGGAGGGAAGTCAGGCCCCTGTATCAGTTAGCCAAAGCTGAATGCAAAGCACTACCCAGTGAACACAGAAATCAGAGCACAAAAGGCCTCACCACACATTTGAGTAAAGTTCTAGTGCTCTGGATAAACAACCAAAACAGCCACAACATTCCCTTAAGCCAAATCATAAAACACAGCAAGTCCCTAGTTCAGAGAAGCTTCGTTAAACGGAAACAGAGAAGACAGACCTGAAACTAGAAAGTTTCAGAAACTGAAAATCACAAATTAGTAAAAAGGAATCTAGGAACATTCTATACTCCCAATTTATAAATATATCCTCTACTTTATTCATTTATTTTTATGTGTTACAGTGTTTTGCCTGCATGTAAGTATACCATGTGTGTGCAATGCCTGCAAAGGCCAGAAGAGAATATCAGATGCCCTGGAACTGGAGTCAAGGACAGATGCTAGCGCCATGTGGGTGCTGGGAACCAAACCCAGGTCCTCTGCAAGTGCAGCCCGTGCTCCTAACTACTGAGTCATCTCTGGAGCATCACATCCTCAATTGTAAATGGCAATGAACAGGTTGCCTTATCTAGCAAATGTATCCTATCAATTTAATTGTCTTTAGATCTCACTAACAGTTTTCTTCTTTGTTAAATTTTATTTCTTTGTGGAAAAAATTATGAAGACATTTAGCAGGCATCAAAAATGTTTCAAGACTAACTCTTAGTACCTGCTGCCCAACTGAAGCAATACAATGCTACAAATGGAAAGGAGAGCTCCCAGAACGCTGCCAGGCCCCCCAATATGACCACTTTACATATGCATGCTTTACAGCCCCAAATAACATTCTTGTTTTTAGCTTTGCTTTCTACAAATTAGTTAAAGTTGTTGAAATTATATGTATTCATCACATTTAATATAATGTTCTGAAGTATATGACACTATGGAATGAGTGACTGAATCTAGTTGGTGTGCCCACTACCTAACAGCTGTGATTTATGGTGTGAACAGTAACAGCCACTCTCTTGGAACTTGAGAGAATATACAAAGTCAAGGATTCATCCTCAGAACGGGGAACTTTTCAGAGCTAGGGCCTCCTGGGAGACCTTTAAGTCATGGGGGTATGCCCTTAAAGGGACCCCACAGTTCTTCCTCCTCCTCTTTTCCTTCCTGACCACAAGGTAAGTGACTCTGCTTTGCCCATAAGCTCCTGCTACCTCATCATAGCCACAACACAAGAGAGCCAATCAGTCATGGACTGAAACTTCCAAAGCTCTAGGCCAAAATAACCTTTTTTTCCTAAGTTGATTATCTCAGATGCTAATTACAGTGACCGAAAGCTCACTAGCATAGAGTTATCAATACTGTGAACTCTTTGCCAGATCACTGCAGCGAAGTGACTGTCACGTAAAGTAAACTGCATGTATATTTTTGGTTTCCTGGTACATATAAAAGTTACATTACATCGAGTCACAGTTTGGTATTGGCTACTGCCTTTGTGTGCTGAGTCCTCCAAGAATAACTGCTGACCTTATTCACTGGCTGTGGGCCTCGTGGCACAGTCGGTCACCAGGTTAGTGACGTGTAAAAATTTTTTTTTAATTTTTTAAATTATGTTACACTATATGATTGATAGTTTATTAAGACTGCAATGGTAATTTCAATATATCTCTCATGGTTTAAAAATGCTCACGGTCTCCTGAGCCTTCAGCAAGGTGGGCTCTTCTGCCAATGGAAGGTCTTGCTGAGCACTGATGGCTGCTAAACTGATCAAAGTGGTGATTGCTCAAGGTTACGGTTTATTTTTAAGAGACAGGGTCTCCGAAATGTAGCACTGGCTGGCCTGGAGCTTATTGTGTGGATCAGGCTCATCTCTGATTACATGCCTGACAGGTCAGGGTTTCTTAGAAGACAACAATGAAGTGTGCCTCATCACTGGCTCTTTCAAGACTCCCACATGTGCTGCTGCTACTTAATAGCATTTTACCTGCAGAGGAACTTTCAAAACAGCCCATCTTTTCAAACCTTGCTATGGCCTTAGCAACAAAGTTTAAGTCATACTCTAAAACCTTGGTTGTCATTTTAGCAATGTCACAGCCTCTTCAACAAGAGTGAGCTCCATCTTAAGAAGTCACTTCTGGGCTAGAGAGATGGTTCAGCGGTTAAGAGCACTGGCTGAACTTGCAGAGGACCCAGGTTTGGTTCCTATATGGCAGCTAACAACCACCCATAACTCCAGTT